CTGAAGGCCGTCCCGAGTTTGGGCTTCACACTTCAGTCTCTCCCTCCCTCGTCCCTCCGTCCTAGACCCGGGCTGACTTGGATTCTCGTGGTGAAGTTCCCGGGCACTACAAGCCCAGATTGTACTTGCTAAGTTTCGAGTTTCAGAGCCGTATGTGCCACATAACCTCATGCTGAACGAGATCCAGGATGTTTCCATCAGCCCAGAAAGTCCCTGTGTCCCTGTCATCAGTCACCCGCCCCCTCCCCCAGGGGCCCCATGTTCTAACTTCTGTCCCTCAAGGTTAATTCTGCCTGTTCCAGAATGTCACAGGAGCAGAATCAAGTGCTTTGTTTTCTTCTGTGTCCGGCTCCTCTCCCGGCACAGACCTGCGAGGCTCGCTCGTGTGGCTGGGCTGCGGACATCCTGTCCTGTTTCACTGCTCGGTCCTCTTTGGTATGAACCTGGTGCCATTTGTTTACTGGTTCCTGCGATGACGGTCACTTGGGTTATTTCTAGTGGAAGGCTATTATGGGCTGGTATGAATAACACTGATACTTTCTTGGGCAAGTCTTCCTGTGGGTGGAGCTGGCTACAGAGCCGGGAGGGGACGGCGTGGGTCATGGCATGGTGCGTCCTTAGCATCACAAGGTGCTGCTTGAGCTCCCCGCGGCCTGGGACTGTCCCCCAGTCTCCCGGCAGTGAACGACGGTGGCTGCTGCTCTCACCCCGGCGGCTGGTGGGGACCGTCTTTTTCTCCGTGGGGAATGGCAGCTCCGCGTGGCCCTGCTTTGTTTATGGGGCCCATTAGACATTTGTACACCTTCTTCCACGGGAGTTTGTTTAGGGCTTCGCCCGTTTTTTATTGGGTCGGTCTTCTTGTTGACTTTCAGGAGTTCTTTATTTAATCAAGATATGATTCCTCTCTCCGCAGCCTGGATGGTGGAACTTTCCCAGTCTGTCACCTGTTTCTCTGTTCATTTTTCTTAATACTTTCCATCTTTGATGAGCAGAAATTTTTAATTTTTGTAAACAGTCCACGTTTACGTACCAGCCAAGAAATCGTCATGGGGGAGGTATGAAAACACTCTCCTAAGTTTTCTTCTAGAAACCCCGGATTCTGGGCTTTATGGTTATTTCTATTATCCATCTCAAATTTGTGTGGGTATGAAGTGAACCAGGTCCAGTTTTCTTAACATCATATGAAAAAGATTTCTTTATCCATTGAACTACTTGACGTCTTGGTTTAAAAACCGACTTGTCCTCTGTGTGGGGGTCTGTTCCTGGACCCGACCCCATTCCATGAACTTATTTGTCTCCTGCCCCCAGCGCCGCCCTGTGTCGGCTACTGTAGCTTTATAATGGCTTCCAGGACCCTCTCTTAAAGTGCGGCCCAGGGTGAGGTGTGCAGAGAGCGTTCCTCACCTGATCCTGGGGACAGTGACTTCTTTTTATTGAAATCAAGTAGTCTAAGAACTCCTTTGTTGTTTTTCAAAATTGTTTTCTCCCTTCAAGATCCTTCGTCTTTCCATATAAATTATGGAATCAACTAGTCCACTTCTTGCAGTAAGCTTGCTGGGATTTGTGCGTGTGTGTGTGTGGGAGGTACCAGGGACTGAACTCAGGGACACTCAACCACTGGGCCACATCCCAGCCCTATTTTGTATTTTATTTAGAGACAGGGTCTCACTGAATTGCTCAGCGCCTCACTTTTGCTGAGGCTGGCTTGGAACTTGTGATCCTCTGTCTCAGCCTCCCAAGCCACTGGGATAACGGGTGGGCCACGGCGCCTGGCCAGCTTGCTGGAGTTTTGAAGGGTTGTATTGCTGTGTCACTCAGGGGTCGTCTTAATGTCGCATCTTCGGATCATGACTATGGGATATCTCCCATTTATTTACTTATTTCCTTGTTTTTCTGGCCCTGTTCTGCCTCCCCAGCACAGCAGGCTTGCTCGTCTTTTGATAGACTTGCTCCTAGGCGTTTGGTGTTTTTGAAGTTGTCGTACGTGGCGTTGCGATTTTGTTTTACTAGACTTCTGTTTTAGTGGGATGACGCTGATCCTGTCGTACAGTAAAGGACCAGGGGAAGCAAAAGCAGGAGCAGGAAGGCCAGAGAGGAGGCCAGTGCCTCCTGGGAGGGCTGAGGTGGCCGGGAAGGGGTGGCCGCCACGGGGACTGGTGTGGGGGACATCGGAGGGAAGGTAGTGCCAAGAGCATTTTCTGAAGCTCGGATACCAGGCGTGAAGGAAAGAGAAAAGTCAAGGACAGTGCTGAGGTCTTAGCCTGACCAGCGAGGGGGCTGGCCCTCAGCTGTGCCGTTTCCAGAAGAGCTGTTGAGGGACATGGGGTTTTCAGTGGTAGCGCTGAGCCTGCGGGGCGCGGGGTGCTGTGCACCTGGGGCCATCGGCTCAGGGCTGAGCAAGCTCACCAAGGGCGGAGCAGGACAGGGAAAGGGGCCCAAGGCCTGTAGCCTGGAGCAAGCCAGCCTTAGGGACCAGGGGCCAGGGGACTTAGCACAGGACAGAGGAGGAGCAGCCAGGGAGACAGGAGGAAGACTGGCGAGGGCCAGAAGAAGTGGAGGGAGGTGTTTCCGGGCAGAGCGAAGGTCAGCCATGGGAGAGGGCGATGACAGGACAGTCACTGAGGCCCAGCGGTCACCTACCCACGTGGAGCCGTGATTTTGACAAAAAGTTCTCATCGGCCCGAGGGGCAACAGGCTGAGCTGAGGGAGCTCAGGAGGAGGCGGGAGGAGAGCCGGGGGTTGGCCGGTGGAGGCCATTCTTTCCTGAGAAAGGACTGCAAGAGGACTCCTGGGGGCTGGGAGGACACGCCACTGACCTTACGATGCGTGTCTCACCACCGGGACTGCTCTCAGCTTCCTGCGCTTCTGTGTCCAGAAGCTTCCAGAACCCTCCTCTGAATGTGTGGCCCAAGTGTGGTGTGCAGAGGGAGGTCCTCAGCCGGCCCTGGAGTTGGTGACTTCCTTGTGTCCAAAGCCACCTGCTGCTTACCCACAGTCCTCCGGTCCCCACAGCAAAAACTCAACCTCTCGGGAGGCCCACTTCCTCAGGAGCTTGAGGAAGACTTCCCTCGAGCCTGCGCCCGGGCCGCTGTGTCTCTGCCCCACTGTCAATCACAGCCGCTCAGCAACAATGGCCGCCGGCCCGCGCTGCTCTCAGGCCACTTCCACGCACCTCAGATCCCAGGCGACAGGAAGCAGAGGATCCGTGCTGCCCGGCATGGAAGTGGCATCTGCATAAGCGACTGTCCTGGGCATGGGGACAGAAAAGGAATGGGCCCTGATTTCCTGCCGCTCTGAATCCCCAGAGCTCTGGAGGCTGTGTTTTAAGGACATTTGAAAAGCGCTCCTGCGCCCAGGCCTGCTGGGGAGGGCCTCCTGGGCCTGCCAGGGCCCTCCTGCTGTCCCCCAGTGACCCCCCTGCTGGGTTCTGCTTCCTCCTGCGAGGTGCCTGCAGGCCGGCCCTGCCATGATTAGGCCTTCCCTGGCGTGTCCACTCTGTCCATTTTGTCTCCTGGGCTCCAGTGGGAATCCAGGCGGCCTCTCTGTGGTTCCGGGTCTTTGTCAGAGCTCTGGCTCGGCAGGGGCCTGGGTTGGAGCCCCAGTCCCAGCCCCGCATGTCCCATGAGCCCTGTTGGTTAGGCTGGGCCATCGTGCAGGGGCGGAGGATCTCGGGATCCCGCCTGTGGAGTCCGAGCAGGGATCCTGGACGGCCCTTGGAGGGACGCAGGCCAGGAGACATGGGGCCCGCAAGGAGGCAGCCCCCAGCTCCACACCGGCACAGGATGGGGAGACCCCCTTCTCCTGGAGCCCAGCAGGTGGAGGCCTCCGTGTGTCTGTAGTCCTGCCCACGTCCCCCGCGGTGCTTCCCAGGACGCACACCTGGCAGGCTCCATCCTTAGCACCTCTGTCCCCAACACTCACTGGCAGTGATGGCTCAGGGTTTTAGGGCTTGGCCAGCAGCGGGGAGGGGCCCTCAGCTCCCCAGCAGACCAGCACTTCCCTGGATTTGGACACAACCACGGGAGGAAACTTTAACTTTAGAAATGCTACAGCACACTGGCTTTCCCGCACACCGGGGCACTGCCAGCCTTGCTGTTTGGTGTAGCACCCCTGCCCCTGGGGACAGAGCACCTGCGCAAAGCAGGCGGACCCAGGGTGGCGGGAAGGCTCCCGTGGGGAAAGGGTGAGCAGGGGTGGGTGGGCTGGAGCGAGGGTGTAGCTCCTGTGTCCCCTGCGTAGCTTGTGCCCAAGGGCAGGCAGCTGGGTGGAGGGTGCCTGAGTCATGGAGGAGACCACCCAGCCACAGCACAAAGCTCATCAGGTCCTGTAATAGATGGGGAAACGAGGCTCAGAGAGGGTGGCCACTTGCCCAAACTGCCATCCTGAGCCCTGCCGCCCACCACCGCCTCCCCAGGTGGTCAGACACCTACTTCCTGCTGGTTAAGAGAATCCCCCAGCTGCCACCCCCCAAGGCCCCAGCAGTTCTGGGCCCCTTTGCTGGGCCAGGCTCTGCCCATGGTGCTGAGGACAGAGGCGGGCGGGACTTGGCTTATGCCACAGCAGCTCCAAGGGGCTTGAACGTGGCCAGGGACACACTGTGCCATGAGGCTGCAGGAGGGAGCCATCGATGAACAGATGTCCAGAGCACATGAGGGCAGGGGAGGAGCCGTGGCTGCTGCTGGGGTGCAGGAAGTCTCAGCAGAGGGCAGGGAAGCTGGCACTTGGGGACTGGCAGGAAACTGAGCAAAGCACCGACTAAGACTAACCCAGGAACCAGAAAACTTGATCAAGGCTGTGTGGTGAGCTGGTGATTACCTGCTGAACCACGTGAGCTGCCCCCAGCTAACTGAGCTTCTCATCCCCGCTTCTCTGACCGGTGGTCGGTGCCTGGTGTGTCGGGAGCACAGTGGGCAGCACACTGCAGCAGAGAATGCCGGGGGGAGCTGGGGCCTGGGAACAGAAGGGCCGCTCTGATCAGCCCCACCCTGCACTCCACACAGGTGCAGACATTCCATGGAGACCTGCTGCAGCACATGGAGAAGAACACCAAGCTGGACATGCAGTTCATCAAGGTGAGTCTGCCCTCCACACCCGGCACCCAGCTCCCCTTAGCAGGCCACCTCCCCCAGCACCTAGCATTGACCAGGCCCAGGTGAGACACATTCCCAGCCCTGGGATGGGTGTCCTGGGCGCTTGGACCCCTGCCTCTCCACCCTCCCCAGGACAGCCGGCAGCACTACGAGATGGAGTACCGCCACCGAGCCTCCAACCTGGAGAAGTGCATGTCCGAGCTATGGCGCATGGAGCGCAACAGGGACAAGAACGCCCGGGAGATGAAGGTGAGCGCTGGGTCCAGTCTCAGGGGAGCCCCCAGCACCCCCTAAGCCCCCCGCCCGGCACCAGCCCCACATGGCCAGCACAGCTGGAGAGGTCGGCCAGCCGTGGCCTGGCTGGAGACCAGGGCCACCCTCGGCACCCTGCCTGCCCGGGGGCCTCCTGGCCTGTCCCAGGCTCCCCGGGTCCCTCCTGGAACCCCAGCGCCCCTCCTCCTGCCCAGCCAGAGGGCCCTGCCCTGGCCAGGATTAGCCCCCGCCTTCCGCCTCCTCTCCTGGCCCCTCTCAGTGAGCTCGCCTCCCTCTGAGCGTCTCCCCTCCCAAGTCGGGCCTTGGTGATCTTGGCAGCACATCCTCATTACCCAGCCTCCTGGGGCCGCTCTGCTCAGGCCTGTGCCCCGCGCCAGGGGCAGAGCGATGGCTCAGGCAAGCCGCCAGGGGGACACTGAGGATGCCCACGGGGCAGGCTCGGGAGCTGGGTCCGGCTGTGGGGGGGGCCAGGAGGAGGCGGCTAAGTCAGGACCCACAACCAGAGCCTCCCGCAGGAGAGCGTGAGCCGGCTGCACGCCCAGATGCAGGCCTTCGTGGCCGAGAGCCAGCGCGCTGCGGAGCTCGAGGAGAAGCGGCGCTACCGCTTCCTGGCCGAGAAGCACCTGCTGCTCTCCAACACCTTCCTGCAGTTCTTTGGCCGGGTGAGTGCGGTGGGGGAGGCCGCACCCCAGGTGGCTGCACACAGGAGTCCTCCTCCGTCCTTCCTTCATCTGGGCAGAAATTGATTAAGAAAAATGGTGCCAGGGATGGACGCTGCAGGTGCTTGACCACTGAGCCACACCCCCCGCCTAACCCCTCCCCTCTCTCCACTTTCTGAGACACGGTTTCCTAAGTTGCTGAGGCTGGCCTCGAACTTCTGATCCTCCTATCTCAGCCTCTAAGTTGCTGGGATTATAGGCATGGGCCATTGCGCCCCACCAGAAATTGACTTTTTTTTTTTTTTGTACCAGGGATTGAACTCAGGGGCAGTCGACTAACAGGGGGCTAAGATCAGCATCTCATTGGGGGGTTCTTCTTCCTGCCAAGGAGGGTGTAAGCCACCTGGAAACTTAAAGTCATAAATAATAGTGAAGAACAAGACACAAATAGTCAGAAATATATTTACAAACAGCAGAGCCCCTGCTAACTAGCCCACCTGGGGGCTGGAACTGAACAAGGAAGACAGCTCCATCATTTATTTAAGGGGCACATCAAGGGCAGAGTCTTGCTTCCTGAAGTCTTGAGTCAGCAGGTTGATTGGCATCTGGGCAGGTCACACCCATCTCAGGTGCTGTGTGGGGCTCCGCAGAGCGGGACAGAGAGCCACAATGTCTCTGGGCAATTGGCTGGGGAGAGTCACCAGAGATAGTCTAGACTCTGGTCATTCCCAGACACTAGGCTTCGATGCACAGTGACCCCCACACAACCCAGGGACGGCTGGTGACACAACCATGGAGCCCTATTTAGTATTTTATTTAGAGACAGGGTCTCATTGACCCTGGCGCCTCGCCATTGCTGAGGCTGGCTTTGAACCCAAGATCCTCCTGTCTCAGCCTCCCCAGCCGCTGGGACTGCAGGCGTGTGTCACCGTGCCTGGTGCAGAAATGGATTTTGTTTCACTCTGTCCACCCATCTTTGCTTGTTGCTGTGTCCGTGTCACCGTGTGTCCCCTATCTATCCCTCTATTCATGATTTTGCTTCTGCAAGGCCCTTGGCTGGGTTGTGATGTGCTGGAGCTGCAGGAGGGAAATGGCCACTCGCTGTGGCCAAGGGCAGGGCTGACCGCGCACTCTGAGTCTCCACAGAAGGTGGTGCCCTTCGCCTGTGTCCTCCACAGACCTCTCTAAGCATCGCCACTCTGGGGTCAAAACTGCCAGCACATGGCCCTTGGGAACCCCCTCAACTGTGCCCAAGCCACAGCACACACTAGCGCTCACCCTCGGAAAGGGTCCTCCAGAGCCTCCCTCACCCTGAAATCCCCAGCACCCTGTGGCGGGGTCCGCCTCCTCCTGCCCCCGCCACTGCTGACCTCCTCTCTGCCTCAGCAGATGCACCTGTTGTCACTGTCACACCAAAGCCACCGAGCGAGTGCGTCCTCTGTGACGGCTCCCTCTTTGGGCACGCAGCATCCGGCTGTGTGTGTGGATCCCATTGATGGACAGGGCGCCCAGTGGTGGGCGTGTGGGTGGCTCCGCGGGGGCTGTGAACGACTCCTCTGGGAAGAACCGCGTGTCTCTGGGTGGACAGACTCTTACTGCTCTCGGTGTGAGTGGGACGGCCGGGCCGGGTGGTGACTGTTCCTTGGGTGGCGTGGCTGCAGCCGACCCGCCTGTCAGCAAGCGCATGGGGGTGTCCCTTCGCCACACCCTCGCCAACACCTGTGGCTCTCTTTGGCTCCTGGCCGGCTGGAGGTGAGCAGTGGTTCCCCGTGCTCTGGCCTGCACTCCCCGAGGCCAGCACTCGCGCCCGTATTTTTCAGTTGATGCATTATAGTTGTATGTCACGGTGGGGTCTGTTGTGACACGTGCATACGTGCCCACAACACGTGGTGGCACAGTATAATCTGGCCACCACCCCTCCCCAGCACCTCCCCCCTCCTCCTGCTCCCCACCCGTCCCTTTCCTCTGTTCATCTCCCTTGAATTTTCATGAGGTCCCCACCCCACCCCCACCTTTCTTTCCCTCGTTCCTCTCTAGTTTCCACAAATAAGAGAAAACGAATCACCCTTGACCTTCTGAGCGTGGCTTACTTCACGGAACACAATGGTCTCTAGTTCATCCATTTTCCTGCAAATGATGTGAGTTCATTGTCCTGACGGCTGAGTGAACTCCACTGTGTGTAAATGCCACGTTTTCTTTATCAACTCATTCCCCATGGACACCTGGGCTGGCTCCGCCGTCTGGCTCTTGTGAGTTCTGCTGCTATGAACGTGGGTTTGCGGTTGTCACTCTAGGGAGAGACTCACTCTTCAGGGCAAATACCAAGGCGTGGTCTAGCTGGTCATTGGTGTTGCACGCTTGGCCTTTTGAGGAGCTCCGCACTGACTTCCATAGTGGTCACACAAACCTACGACCTCATGAAGAGTTTCCTTCTCTCCCCGCATCTTCTCCAGCACCTACTGTTGTTGTTTTCTTGAGGACTGCCCTTCTGACTGCTGAGAGATGAGCTCTCAGTGTAGTATTGATCTGCGTTTCTCTAGTTGCTAATGACGTTGGACATTTTTTCATGTTTGTGGCCATTCGTGTTTCTTCTTTTGGGAAGTATCTGTTTCGTTCATTTGCCCACTGGATAACTGGGCTATTTGGTTTTTGGTGTAAAGTTTTTCTAAATACCAATCCCCTGTCCAAAGAGCAGCAGGCACAGATCTTCTCCCATTCTGTGGGTTCTCTCTGCACATTCCTGTTTCCTTTGCTGTGCGGAAGCTTTTTAATTGGACGCCTTCCCATTTATTAACTCTCTGCATTATTTCCTGAGCTTTAGGGATCCTATTGAGAAAGTCATTGCCTGTGCCTAGATGCTGGAGTGTGGACCCTACGACTTCTTCCGGGAGTTGCATAGTTTCTACTCTATTTCCGAGGTCTTCCATCCATTTTGAGTTGCTTTTTGTGGAGGGTGAGAGATAAGGGTGAAGTTTCATTCTTCTACCTATGGATAACCAGTTGTTACAAAGGCTGTTTTTCTCCAATGTATGTTGTTGTCACCTTTGTCAAGGATCAGGTGACTGTAGATGTGTGTGATTGTCTCTTATTCTGTACCATCGGTCCACGTGTCTGTCTTTAAGCCAGCACCGTGCAGTTTTCGTTACTGTAACTCTGTAGTATGATTTGAAGCCCATGTATTGTGACGCCTCCGGTATTGCTCTTTGGTTTAAAACTCCTTTAGCTGTTTTGGGTCTTTTGATTTTCAAAATTAATTGTTTTTTCTTTTTTGCTAGTTCTGTGAAGAATGTCACTGGTATTTTGATGGCACTGAATCTGTATATTGCTTTTGGTAGATAGTCATTTTAACTATTAATTCTGCTTCTCCATGAACATGAGAAGTCTCCATCTGCTGAGGCCTTCTTCAGTTTCGTTCTTCAGTATTCCATAGTGTACGTTGTAGAGGTTTTCACATCCTTGGTCTGATTTATTCCTAAGGTTTTGTTTTTGTTTTCGAGGCTATCGGGAATGGAGTGGTTTTCCTGATTTCTTTTCCAGCTGATTCTCTGTTGGGATATAGGAAAGCTGTTAATTTTTGTTCTCAGATTTTGTAACTTGCTACTTTGTCAAAGTTTGGTGTTTTTCTTTTTTAATCTTCTAAGTACAGGATCTTACCTGCAAACAGTGATGATCTAACTCCTTCCTGTCCTGTTTTTATCCCTTTTATTTCCTTCTCTTGCCTAATTGCTCTGGATGGAATTTCTAGCGCGTGTATTAAAGAAGAATGGCGAGAGTGGACATTCTTGTTCTGGTTTTAAGGAAAATGTTTTCGGTGTTTCCCCATGAGGTTGGCTTGGGTTTGTTATGCACACCTGTATGATGCTGAGGGAGGCTCCTTCCTTCCTAGTTTCTTCCATGTTTTTTTATCATGAATGGGTGCTGAATTTTATCAAAGGTCTGCTCTGCATCTATTGAGATTACTAAGAGATTTGTATCCTT